AGTGCACCGATAATTATGAGACAAATACAGTTTTCAAATAAATCAGATTATTGATACTTTGATAGCAGTTGAGATTATATTTTCTTAATTTTAAATAAGATAGCTGAAATCGATTATATTTGTAGAAAACTAATTATTTATTAATGGCTAAAACATAGCCTAATATATTGTGATTAAAATCAGTACAATAATATCCATGATTTGATATTGAATTATTTTTGAAATTATACATTGTAGAATTAGATAGTAATATTATGTTTTGTTTTACTTGTACATAGAAGTACAATAAGATAATGTATAATTTCATTCCACTGTCATACATAAGATACTAAATAATGAGTAAGTTCAGATAGACCAACTATAATTTACGGAATTTTCAGTTTATGAGAGCAAAAATATTTTCCGGGGAAAATGTAATTCCATCATGCAGGTTAGGTTTTTCATCGTAAAAAAAAAAAAAAAATTAGACTGGTTTCATTATTACAAAATAGTTTACATCTTATGATGAAATATAACAATACACAAACCATTTACTCAGCAGCCGATACTTTTACTGTAATGTAATAATGTTTATGTTAGTTTACTATCATTAATTAATTACCGTTTAGGTAGGAACCTGAAACTGTAAACCTGTAACGTATAGTACTTGAAACAGGTGTCAGGTACTATACGTCTATAATATGAAAATAACAACTAATAATAGTATTTAGACATATCTAATAAAAATATAATCCAGATATAGGTCCGGATTTGCTTCTTTTTAAAAATAATATTGAAAAGATAAAATTTAGGTAAAAATGTATTTCACATTATTTCCAATATACTGAAATTAATTTAATTTTCTTTTTTACCTTAAAAATAATTTTTTTAATTTTTTGTTATATTGTGTTAAATTATGAGTTCAAGAGGATGCAACACCTGCATTTTTTGCATCGTCTTACAAACGAACAAACGTAGCAGCAAATCTGTGTTCAGTAGAACCAATTTTATGTTAGTTTTAATATCAAACCAACTTGAATTTAAAGAAAATAATATTACTCCTAAGTTTTTTTACAATATTTTTATTTAAAGCAAGTTACCAATATTTAAAATATTAAAATCTAAAAAAGCTCATGAGTCGAAAGATCTTTTTCCATGTGGAAAAATATTTTAATTAGCTATTAACCGTCAACGAGTTTGGCTGAACGACATGTAAGTATTCACTTTTATACACTTTTATTTTAATATTTAAAATTAATTAATTACATTTTATAAATTTCATTTTGAACCAAAGCAAAGATTATTATTAAAAATTCAAATAAATTCAAACTTTTTTTTAATTAAAATTACTTTTTTTGCTTTTTATTAAAAGCAGTATTTTTTATTATTGATGTCGTTTCAATATTCGAATTCTTATTGTAAGATTTTTTTTAATTTATTAAAATTTAATTGTTTTGATAAAAATTTTGTTTTTACAGTGATTAAAAATAAATAAATTATAAATTAGCTTTTACGATACATATTTCTTATTACTGGTATCAATAACGAATAGCTTTACTAAATTAATCTGTTGAGTATTATTTCAACAAACAATTTTGAAACCCAAGTCCAAAATCAGTTCAATATTAATTAGGTAATTAAAATCGACGAAATATTAACTATGATCGATAATATATATTTAGCATATTATCGCTTAAATTATACGTATTTATCATTGAACATTAAAACAAGTAATTAGTAGGAAATAATATAAAATAAACAAAAATACCTAAGTACCTATATAATTTATAATTTTAATAATGAATATTACATAGGTGCATACAATGTGTTAACACTGCCTCTGAATAAGTAATTACACCCTTAGCTTAGTATCGAATTTAGGGAGAGAAGCTCAGGGCTCTCACTAGATAAAATAAATGGGAGGCCCTCAAAATAAGTACGCTGTATCCACTAATTATACTAATTGTACTAATGATAAACTTCATTCTGCACTTAAAATATAAATTTTTAAATTTTCAAAAAAATAATTTTAATTAATATTCAAAATCAATTTTTAACTACAGTTTGTCCAACTTGTACATTTTAGGTATAGAAAATATTAAACTTAGAATTTTGGAATTTAAGAAATAATTCTACAATTATATCCATAAATAAGTCAATTAACAAATGTTTTTATTGTAAAAAAACTGATATTTTTTAAAATGTATTTTTAAATTTTAGATTCTGAGTGAAATGAGCTATTGATTTTATAATATGTTTCTTACTTTGTTTAATCGTGTCCGTATACACGATTACGACTTTAAGGATTGCTTTACTTGTCAAAGTCATGGGCTTTGGTACTAAGAAGCGATTATTTTATGAACTTTCTTATAGCTTTCTTAATTATTAAAAAAAAAAAAAAAAACTGATGAAAAGTAAAAATTAATAAAAACGGAACTTTGACAAAGCCGATTTCAATTTTTCATCGCGACTGAAAAAATAAAAATATTAGAAACTTGAAATGTTTACTAAATATTTATGTTGTAGAAGATATAATTGTCAAATGTTTTCAAATTTTTTTTAGCTATTTAAAGATCTTTGAAAATTGTATGTTTGTGCCCAAATGAAATTCTATCTATAAGAGCATATTTTAGCACAACGAATCCATATGGTACAGTTATATGACAATCGCAATGCAATTTTAATTTCATGCATGTAACTAAGTGTGATATGATATAAATCTTATTCGAAACAAGTATGAAAATAAATGACAATAAAAATTTGAAAAAAATAACTAGTTAAGTTAGTTGTATTTTTGATCAAATTAACAAGTATTTCAGAATTTGGAAAAATAAAATAAAAATAAAGTATAGGTTGGTACTAAATATGATCAGAGTTATTTGAGGTTAAACTGAAAAAAAATTAATAATATCATTAATTTTGTTTTAAATCTTAAATTATAAGAAATCATTCATTATTTTTAGAAAGAAATAAAAATATAAATTAAAAAAATACATAAAATATTTTTCATTAATTTGTTCAAATAAATAATTCAATTGTTTATGGAATAATAATTATATTACGATAAAAATACAATGAAATAGCATTACAATAGATACGAATATAATATGTAGATAGTTAATACAGTAGTAATTATATTGATAAAGCGGAATAAGTATTACAATTTACAAAAAAAAAAAAAAAATACATTTGTTTATAAATTTAAATTCTTATACATATATTTAAATAATAATAAATATGAGATACCTATTAATGAAACATAATGTGAACTATTTTTAGACTGTTATGTATTTAAAAAGAAAGATTTAGCTATAATTTATTGAACCTTGAATTAAGAGACCATTTTTCATCTACCTTATATAAATTAGAAAGATATCTATTTTATTTATTTTTTATTGCAACTTATTCTTTAGATTTTAATTAATAGATATACCTACTTATAGGTAATTCAATTATTTAAATTTGAACTATTATAATTTTTATAGTTAAGTATAATTGAATATGTTATGATAGTTAATGTATAGTAATAATAATGTAAAACTATATATATTTATATATTTCTACTATAATTTGAATAAACGAATTAGTGTTTATATTAATACATTTTTAAACAATTATGATTAGAAACCGAAATTTTTGTCATCAATTTATTCTTTTTTTGACGATTATACATCTTCAACCTTAAAAGAATACATTAAGTTCAGTTTCCTAATAATAAGAAACTAAAATCACTCAAATAATTAAATTTTGTAAACTATTGATATTTTATAATTATGATAGTACTAACATTTTTAACTACTTTTTAGTATTCTATGAATTTAAAATTGGTTATAATTTAAAAATATTTATCAATCAAAAGCATAATTTGGCACTATTTTTCATATTTTTATTTTAAAAACTCAAGTTTTTAAGTTATGATAGAAAGTCAAGTATTTTAATTAACAAATAATTTTATTTATAAAAAAATCATTTTATATCCAAATAAAATTATAATTTTAGTTAAGGTTTGGGTTGAATATGGTTTAAAATAATTTATGAATGAAAGATTTAAATTATATGAAGTAAAATTATCTTGATTGAAGTAAATCCAAAACAAACTTGAGCAATATTTAGTTTATATAAGGTAAAAAAAAAATGTAGTAAAACATGTAATATGTCCTGCAAATGATAAAAATGAATTTTTTTTAAAAAAAATGTTTACCTATCTGATTAATAATCATTCAATTCCTATAAACTGTTACAATATATATTATGATTACATGTATGAAATGAAAATGTTATAATTTACTATCAATAATTGTTATTACATAATGATTGTATGAATAAAACACAAAATGTTACACTTTAAACTTAAATTCTAAAAATAAAACAATGACACAAATCTGAAGTAAAATTATTTAAACTATATCAGGCTACTTAAATATAAAAATGGTAATAATATATTGATAAGAAATATGATTAAAAACCTACCATATTGTATGCACCATTAAAATAATGTATTAATAAAAAAATTTTAAAGTAACTATTGATTATACAATAATTAAATTAATATTTATTTCTCAGATATTAAATCAAATATTTAAAAGAATATAAGTTGAAACATTTTGAAAACATATCACGCTTAGTGGTTTGTTTCGAAAATGTGGAAGAACATAAAGGAAGTTTAGTACCACTTAATTTTGACTTGGACCATTTTTTACTCAATGGTATAAAATGTATAACAGGAGGATACAACAATTTCGAAATATAAGAAAATTAATAACAGTATATTGAAGTAAAATAAATATATTTAAGCTGCATAATACATAATTAATAAGTTACTATAATCAATGTCAATTTCAAAACCCAAATAATTATATTTATTGTAAACACATCATAAATGGCGCATCAATTTTTTGTACTTGTGTAAAAGGAACATTTTAACGGAATATTTTTAATAGAATTTAAAAACTCCTAAAACTTATTACTTTTTATGTATAGATAGGTATTTAAATTTCTTTGGGTAAATTCATGATTTAAATCCGAAAGAGCTACTAAAATAAAAAAAATAAACCTAATATTCACAGATCTTTACACATAATTAAATTTTAAAATAGGACATAATATCAATTATCTCAACCACTAAAGCGAAAAAAAAAACACAACACTTGGATTCTTATAGTAAAAAACATTCATAATTGGGACTTTATTATTTGATTCTAATATCATATTAATATTTATTATATTCTGTGCATAAATAATTCTGTTAAAAATTCATTATAGTTAAAAGTGCAATACAAGTACCTATTTAGGGAGAAAGATTTTGGTTTCGTAGTTAATTTTAAATGTTGATATATTAGTTGTAGTCTGACTAGAGGTTACACTGCCACAGTATCGTAGGTTGTGAGCCCTCCGCTTTGGAGGCGTTGTTGTCCTGCTGCGGCTTCGTTTCTACAAAGAAAATAAAGTAAATCAATATTTTATTGAAATTACAAATGATTTTACATAAAACTCAATAAAATTATTATTTTAATAACAAATTAAAATAGTTAATTTTATTGAAATCATAAATAAAGAATAAATATATTATGAAAGATAAGTATTTAGAACAGTTAAATACCATATTGTCTTTTATGCATTATATAAAAATACTACTTAAAGTCCACATCACACAATTCTACATTTACTTATAAAAACACTATGCATAACGACAGTATGGTATAAAAAGTACAATTTGTTAGAGCAATCTTTTGTATAGAAAAAAAGTAAATACTTACGGCTTCCTAAGTTTTGACCAATGCATTAAACACAATATATAAAATTAAACAAAAATTAAAGTATGGAAAATTTGTTTTATTAAGCTATACTTTTATATTGTTTGAAGATTTATTAGTCACATTAAAATTATTGAATTCAATAATTTTAGGAATTTTTATTTTTATTTTGTTACTAATTTTTAATCTGACAAATTATAATTGTATTCTATTGTTTGCAGTTATATTTATCTGAATTTATGTACGAGTGTAAAAAAAAGTATATTTTAATATTTTTTACAGGCCCATTTCACTAACCTTTCTATGAGTTTTCGAAGTTCTTCAGTGGTCAAACCATCCTTGGTATTGCCCTTCAAATGCGCTGAAAATTAAAATTAACGGGAAATTTTCATTTGTATTCTCATGGTATGTTTAAATGGCCTTTGAAGCAATGTGAAGATGTAAACAGAATATGCGACTTTACCATTCCAGATAAGCTACCTGACCCATTATTATTTATTTTGTTAATTAAAGCGAATGAAATAAAAAAATCAATTATTTGTATTGGAGTGTAAGAATGGTTAATAAAAGCATGTAATCATTATACATATGTGTTGTAAACTCAAGAAATTGTTTAAATTTGTATGCATAGGTATTACCTTTAAATTGTAGTGATTATGGTAAATATTATAAAAACTTACCTTTTATTTTTGAATGTTTCTTAATATTATTACAGACATGCAAAATTATTAATATTGTTATTATAGAAACACTCACATGCATATTACAGTAAATACAGTATAATTGTAAGTAATATAGGTAATATATGAATGAGAGCACAGCTCTACATATTTTGTTACTAGAAAAGTTGATAGTACGTATTAGTGATCGGCGTTATTGAATAATAACTATCGAATTATTCGATAGTCTTGCCAAGTTATTTATTTAAATAATCGATAATGATTATTTGAATAATTATTTAATTTTTAATTTAGTATAATTTTATTATTTAATATTATTATTAAATGTTTAGAAATGTAAAGTAATTTTATCGTATTTTATTAAACCTTGGAATAAAAAGCCGCATTATTACAGTGCACAACAGCTGCACTATTGAGACACATTGGATAAAATGGTGGGTATGAATAATGAATACCGGGTATAATTATATACTTATAATAATATATACTATAATTTAGATACTTTTATTTTTTTACACAAAAATATGCAGCTGTTAACTTTTAAAAATATTATTATTTAAAAATCTAAGCTAATTTTAATAAAATATTTTAAATTTATATATTTTTTGTATTATTATTTGCGTGATTATTTTTGAAGAAAAGGTATGATTTATATTTTTAGTCCAATATATTAATATAAACAAGAGAAAACTGATGAATAATTTAGAAAAATACACTTGGCGTATGAATAAAGTACGACCGCCGGCAAGCATATACGAATAGTTATCGACAGTACTGAGTACAGATTACAGATTATTCGAGTTATTCAATGGTATCGATTATTCGATGGTTTTGATTATTCAATAAAATAGATTAGTCGAATAATTATTCGATAGTATATATATAAATATTCGAATAATAATCGATAGTAAAATTATTCATTAGCGTCAATCACTAATATTATTAGTAATAACCAGTGGTGTATTGGAGGGTATACGGCGTATACCTAATATGCTATGTTTATCCATGGCGTATAGCTTGTGAGAAATTTATGATACGCGGGTATATAGCCGTATATAGCGTATAGTTTGTAATTTGAAAGATAACTACATAATACCTTGACTAACCTAAATTGTGGTTATATTATTATTATTTTCTTTTTTTTTTTTTTTTAATAAAAAATTCAAATTGTTATCATTTAATAACAAGTTTCTATTATCAAACAGTCATAATTAAGGATGTGTAGTTCATGAGTGAATTTTTTTGGTTCCTACCATATGATATTTACTACATGAAATAAGGCGTACACCCATGATTTATTTTAGCAATACATCAATGGTAATAACATTACTCCTAGTGAAAATAAATATATTTGGAATGATAAGGCAATAAAAATTTAAATATTTATAAAAAATTGTTTAATTATTTTGAAATAATAGATAACATTTAGTATAGATATACTTTGTTCAAAATTCATAACCATAAAATAAATAATTATTTTAAATTTTATTTAATATTTCATTCTACTTCTCCTTCGCCTTTCTTCCAAATATTTGGGGTCGGCCACCGGTTAGGTCCTGAACTTCTACTCGTCTCAATTTTCTACATCCCCTACAAATACACTAACGGCTCTCAAATCATTCTCAAACGTATCCATCTCTTTTTTGGTCTTCCTTTTTCTCTTTTCCCTTCAACGTTAATTTATATAACCACTCTTATTAGGTATATTTGTTATCCTTCATCTCATCATCTCATCATGCCCAAATCATCTCAGCCTATTTTCTCTCATCGGCGCTACATCAATATTGTCTCTCACATATTCATTCCTTATTATTTCTTCTCTTCTCCAGTCATCCATTTAAGTATTCTCATTTCTACAATATTCATACTCTGTTGTATTCTGTTGTCAGTTGCTCATTACTCTGAACCATATAGCATAGTTGGTCTCACTACACTACTGTAAAATTTAACTTTCCGCCTAGGAATAATCTTATCGCATAAAACGCTCAATGCTTCCTTCCATTTCACCCAACCGTACTTAATCCTATGTTTTACATCCATGCCAAAACTCCCGCCCATTAATAAAATTGATCCAAAATATTTAAAGTTCTCCACTTCACCTATCACATCACCAATTATTGTTATTGGTATCCTCATACTTGCAACTTCTTAGTATCTTCCTTCGATGTCATTCTTTTTTTTATTTCTATAAATTCTCGTTTTCTGTCCATCAAGAGCTAATCTCCACTCATATTTTTATTTAATATTTGGTTATAAAGAAAACATTTCTAAATGAATTAATTAATATAATATAGATTATTATTAATTAAATATGGTTTTGTCGTATGGGACTAAATGAATATGAATACTTAATTATTTTAAATAATACATTTAAAAATTGATTTTTCAGTTTTATTAAATATGTTTAATACTTAATACCATAACTATTTTACTATTCAAATTATTAAGTTATAAATAAGGATCCATGTGTCAAAATTAAGTAAGTAATATTATGAAACTTCTTTTCATTTTGAACAATGTGTGTCTCTTTGTAAATTATTGATTGTTATGCTTTTTTACGCAATGTTATAAATAAGTTGACTTAAGTATAATGATGAACTAATGATGTTTATTAGAGGAAATATTAACATAGTTGCATATTCCAAATATTTTCTTATCATGTAGTCCTTAAAAACCTAGTTTTCATAACGAAATTGTGATTGAACAAGTTCCAAAAAATCATGATTTTATCCAACAACAAAAGAAAAAAATACTTTTAAATACCTACTTTAATGAGGATTAAACTACTAACCATGAAGCAGAAATGATCATCGTGTTATTGTTTAAGATCCCGCAATGTTGGTTCCTATCTATTACTAAGTAACAAATTAAAAATATGAAAAAAACTTGGTTATGTAAATACAAGATGAAATGCAATATGCACATCAAAATGCAAGATTGCATGTATTAAATAATTTGTTAGCTTAATAGTGGCAGTAATAAAATAATGCTTGAGAACATGAATATTACATGTTAGTTATCTACTTAGTATTGATACTTATGTGACTAACGTCATTGAAATCCTAGAGCCATATACAATAATTTCATTCTTTCAGAATGGATAAGTTGTATTTTATATGTAATTATAGTTATTATTAAAACTAATAAGAATGATATTATGTGTATTAGAATCCATATGTATAAATATTAAATTACCATGAAAATAAAGCTTTTATAGATCAAGATTTTCATAAACCAAAAAATCAAGATTTATATTAGTTAATATAAAATTATAAGATTTGAGATTATAATTTATAATTATTAGGTAGCTTTGAGAGTTAAATAATAGTTTAATAAAATATATCATTAATTTTGTTATCGATAAGTAAGTTATGTAAATACTTTAGTTATATTTTTTTACCTTTCATACCAAAATACCTCTTGCAATGGGATGTGGCCGCAACCATTTGCCTAGTTTTAATATTGTGTAAAAATAAAAACAAATGCAATTAAGATTATGATTACCATGACTAATGCAAAAAAGTAAACATCTAAATCTATAGTATAGATGATAGTTTAAATATTTATCATAATAAACTCAAGTTTGATAATAAGTTTAGTTTTTAGATAATATTTTGCATATCAAAGTCCGCATAAAATATTAAAATATAATTGCAACTATTCTATAAAAGCATTTTCAATAATAAAATAATTATTGGATTGAAAACGTTCATTTTTACTCACCACCAGGATTCTGATTAGCAGCTGGTTGTTGATGTTGATCACATTCTGCTTCAGAAATTTGATTGCTTTCTTTAGAGTCATTAGCTTCATTACTTGTATTACTAACATTTGGATCGTGATTACGTGGTGGGGGTGGAGGTGGTTCTGGGCTCCCTAAAATAAATTTAATGTTTTCAAATTTTAATAACAAACAAACATTTGATGAGTACAAAAATATTGTATATTATGCAGATAAAAATAATACATTTTAGCCCTGATATTTCATAACTCTAACGGGTAATTCTAAATAACATTAGATAAATGTTTGTAAGTTATAGCATAATAACAATAATTTTTATAAATACCAATACTGCGTCCAGCCATTGAAGCACGACTCTCATACTGCTCATAAGGAGCTCCATATTGTCCATATTGACTACCATATTCATCGCCCATATTAGCGGGATCATCATACTCAGGTGAAAACATAGAATTTGCTCCACCTACACGTGAATAACGTCCATTTCGAGGCTGAAATAAAATATAAATAATATAAATAAAATAATTTACCTTAATTTTTTGTTAATGACTTATTTAAATATGTATAATAATAATGTTAGTTTTAAGTGTCATAACTAGAGTTAGGATGTTGGTGACTTTTGTATTTTTTTTCCTTTGATCCTATACAGTTTTATCTTTTCTAAAAATTTAAAAATCATGCTTCTTTTATTCAGAATATCCAAATTTTATTTTGCATTTTTTTTTTTTTTGCTACAATTTTCAACATTTTTTTTACTAAAAATTAACTTTTTTATTTTTAAGCGTAATTTTTTTTAATTTCATTTTTACGTATTTTAGGTAATATTTTGAAGTTTTTGTATAATATGGAGGGCATTTTTCTCAAATTTTAAATGTTAAAGGAAATTTGAATAATATACAAAAAATAGTTTATGATTGTTATTGTGGATTTTTTGTTGTGATTAAATTTATCGCGTACCGATATGATTTATCTAGTGTCATCACACGCCTTTGTGAGGTCCTATACAAAAAAAATACAGTTTCTTTACTCTTAAATAAGTATTCTAAGTTGACAAAATTGTAAACCCTCTTATTTATTTTATGTGCGAAGCCCTATAAAATTGCCTAAGTTGCCTGTCCGTTAACGATAGCATTGGATTTTCCGTATGTGTGTTATACAATTATAAACCAAGTACTTTTTCACATATACGCTGATCATACACGTTTATTGAGGAGAAGATATTTCAGAAAATCGAACTACTAATGACATAATCTACTTCAAGTATGCATCCATAACATCCGTTGATATTGAGTAAAGTTATTCATCATACAAACACTTATTAAATGATCGATCGTCTTTTGTTCGAAAATATCAGGCACATTTAAATTGTATAGTGCAAGAGTGTTATATGAAAATAAAATATAAAATTTGTAATATATATATATATATATTATTTTTATTTTAATTTTAATTATTTTATATACATGTAACATATTTTAAAACTTGTAAGATTTAAATGTATACTATAGTCTTTTATACTTTTTATATTAATATTTATATTTCAAATTACTCTGACACTCATAATCATACCCGTATTTCTAATAAAAATTATTATTTTTAAATTTAATTTAATTCACTTTAAATAAGAGTTTTTAGGGCATTATCGCATTTTTTTTGTGCTTATACCATTTCTGTGTGTTTTTAAGTAATAGTAATCTTAACTCCAGTTATAACACAATATTGATTAATTGATACATCTCTAGTTTTATGTTTAGTTTGATATTTTTATAAATTTTTAATTTTTTTATTTTTTATTTTAAAGTAATTAGCTTATATACGTATATAAAAAAATATAATGTAACACCTACACTTGATTAATTTTTAATTTAAAATTAATTAATTACAATGATTACCATAAACACGAAAAAATATTATATACAAATAAGACTTAAAATAGCATAGTATGCAATATAACTATGAATAATTTATTACCATTGTTTGGGTTCCTGGACATTGATGCATAATACCGTTACCAGGAATAGTTCCTCCAGGTCCAATTGTACCACAATGTCCATTGGGATGAGGGAATGTTTGGAATGGCATTTTAGTAGGATCCATCTCTTCACGAAAACCGAGTAAATGGAATGTAGCATATGGGCATATGTCTTCACCATCAATTCCTGAAATTATTTAAATTATTTTAGGTTTATAATACTACTAAGACTATATTTTTTAAACTTAGAAAAAAAAACCAAAGCAACTCGCGATAGCGTTAGAAGATACATAATATAATAGATAACATATTAATATGTTGTAGAAACCTATATATTACATTTATTATGATTAACTAAACATATTTTATAGGTACATCATATTAAAAAATGGTTTAGTTTGATATTCAAGTAAGTGTTAATATTTTAAAAACACTAACACCTTATTTAACAACTGGTAACTATTAAATGGCAATTGATTCAAACAATTTTCATATAATATTGATATATTATTTTAAAACTAATATTCCAACGAAAATAAATACAGCAGTTTACACCAATAATATAGAAAAAGATATCAATTATTATCAGTTGTATTTGTAACTTAGCTCTCAATAATACACTAGGAAGTTAAAGCTTTCACACTGTTCTAAGCTGTTTTGTTAATATAACTCTCACACTGCTGATGTTAAATAATAAAGCTGCCGTGCAATAGTTGAACGTTCTTTTGTCATCTTTTTTACCTCTACACCTGGTGTACATTGTCTCGTCGGATCCTGGGCATGGGGGCAAATGCCCCCTGCACCTAGGATTACTACCATTAAGTTCTTCATACATATGACGTGCTCTAGGGTTCCATGTACCATGACCGTGGTAGGGACCAGGAAAACCTGATTAATAAATGTGACGAGAACAAAAAAAAAAAATAATAGTTAAACGCAAAATAAAAAAAAAAATAGAGCGAACTCAAATTATACAAAACAAGCAAAAATAATATAAATAAAACAATCATGGACCATGTATATATATGTTAGTTAACTATAATACAAAATAAACACCTCGTTTAATTCTATCACAAGTATTGTAATTTGATCCGGGGACAGGTGGGAGCTTGCGATTGGGAGGTGCTATGTAACCAAGTTCGTCGTTGAAATCTGCATGTCTCTTGTCAAGTGTATTGCCTCCCATAATCATTGATTGATTATAGACGGTCATATCATCTAGTTAAAAATAGAAGGTTTTCTAAATTTAATATTTACACAAATATAGGTACAATAAGCAAACAATTTAAAATAACTCAATAATATGATTTTAATGTTCAGTGTTGGATAGTGCAATAATTGATTACTCAACTTAAATATTAATTAGTTTAAGCTAACATAAACTAGCGTTTACTATAAACTAGAAAAATAATTTGTTGAGTTTTTAAAAATATATTTGATATTTTGTATTTAATTATGTTTTAAACAGAACAGGTAATAAATAAATATATGACTATTATTCCATACACAATCACAATGCATGTTTGATAAAATAGTAACTTACTACTAACGAAAAAAGGCTTAATTTATTTTTATATGATATCTATGTTAATTAAAAAAAAAATTTTAATTTAAGTTGACAGTTTTTTATATATTACATTTAAATTTAAATATTTAAAATGTTAAAAGTATAATTTGTTAATAATTAACTCATGTTTTAATATTCTTACGTTAACATAAATCAACTTACTCAAATTAATTATTTTCAATAATTTACTCATTTTTGCATGTACACATATTATTTTTATATTACATTGATTTTATAAGAATTTTAGAATATTGGATTTGTATTATAAAATAATAAATGTGATATAAAATTTTATATGAACTTAAAATGCTTAACTTAAATATTTACGTGGTTATATTTAAAACTATATACCTCGCAATCTAGTTTGTCCATTTTCATGAACTCTACGAGACCAAGCAAAACAAACCACAATTATACCAACAAAAATGACTATAATTGTTGCAGCTGTCGGCACCACTACATTTAAGTCAATCCATTTTGGTATCCATGGCAAGTACGTATAAATAGATGTGACATCTTGAACAGGGGGGGCAACAGTACCTTAAAAAAAAAAAACAAAAAACTAACCTTTTATATCCACTCCTTTCTTCTTCAAGTAACATAAGAAAATGATGGCCACAATAATAACTAATAAAGCTGATGTGACTGGTATCACTAAATTCAAATTTGCCAATACGATACGTATAGCAGTATCAGTAGCAGAACTAAAACCATTATGGTGAACCTCACGGGCAGGGGCAATAGTACCTGGAACAAGGAATGCATTGATATTAATAATTTAAAACTCAAAAATAAAATTGTTCCAAGTACTATTGAAGTCCCACTTATAGCAAGGAAACGGTTTGGGAAGAAAAATAATACTAAAGCTGCAATAATAATAATAATATTTACCACCACTCAACGTCAATGTAGCAAATTCATATTCAGCCACTGAAAATCCAGCATTATTATGAGCAGTTACTCTCAAATGATACCATGAGGCAGGATCCAAATCAAGTACTACAAAATTTCCACCGGGCCTTACATTATTTGAAACTTGAGTCCATTCTGACTGCAGTCTTAAATGTACATTATTGTTTTATATTTAATTATGCGTTTTAAAATTCATTGTAATAAAACCAAAATCAATTTTTTTTAATATTTACTTTTTTTTATGTTCTACTACGAAGTATAACATAGGACAGCCACCATCTAACCAAGCATTTAAATGCAACGTTACACTTGTTGCCGACACTTCAATAAATTTGCTTGCTTCAGGAATTTTTGGTTTTGAACCTGTAGTTTTTGTGTTTAATAAATCTGATTCATCGCCAGTACCAATTCTAAAACACATTTTTAGAATTAAAAGAGAAAAACCCCATAAAAAATGATCCTTACAAGTTATATGCAGTCACGGCTATTTGATAACGAGAACCACACCACAAGTTTTCTAGAGTAAATTTATCAGCCTTAGCAGCCACTTGAACTGTTTGCCAATCACCAAACTCAGGTTTATATTTAATTGTATATCCGTGGATTGGTTCTTTATCAGCAGCATGTGGTTTTAGATTTAATGTTATTGTATTAGATGTTGTTGCTCCAACAGTAATTTGTGGTTTATGTGGTGGGGCTACAAAAATATTTTATATGAAATCTAGTATTTATTTAATATTTTTATTTACTATATAAAATACCTAAAACAATAATATGATGTGTAATTTTATCTTTGCCAAAAGAATTTTCTACAAAACAAGAATATTCTCCAGCATCAGTTCTTGTGACTGATCTAATTAATAAAGAACCTTCAGGTAACTGACGAATACGGTCATTGCTTTCGAGAGGAGCACCTTTGACTTTCCACGAAATTTCAGGAGCTGGTACGCCAACAGTCAAACATGGAAGTTTTACATCTTCACGGTATGTTGCAACAAATGAATCATCGAAAGATGCAATCATAGCAGGAACTTAAAATAAAAAGAAACATTATTTACTAGTAAAATACTAAATAAATTAGTGATTAATATATACCTCGAGTACTGGGTGCAATAACAATTGATTTAGTGGGTTGTCCTTCACCGATGTTGGTAGATGCGGTAACCCAGAATTCATATGGATCTTGTTTAATAAGTCCAGATGCTTCAAAACTCATTTGATTTGCAGCAACTTTATGTGCAGTTGGTTCTTTCTACGGTTCAAAATGATTTAAAATAATTACAAATTTGTTTTATAATATGTATATTCTTGAATAAAATTATTTCAATGTAACTTTATGTTGCTAATATTTGGTGGCATTAAAAATAAAAGTAAATGTATAATATGCATACATCTTTACTATCACCACTTGGTTTAATGTAAACTGTGTATTGATTGATTTCTCCATTGGGTTCTGCAGGAGGTTTCCAGCTAACTAAAACTGATTCAGTAGACATAACTAAAGCTTTCAGAGCAGCAGGTGATTCCGGGACTGTAATGAATAAATTAATAATTAATGAATATTATTTTTGTTAATGGTTTGCAAACCATGCAATCATACCATCTTGTTCAGTTTGACAATATATTCTAGGAGCACGAACACCATCTCCACCGGCAGTAAACGCTAATACTTCCATACTATAATTTGTGAACTTTTTAAGGCCATGTAAAATTGTTTCACTTGACACTGTTATTTTGGTATCTTTTGTACTTTCATCTATGATTAATAAATGAATATAAATAACAAGAGTAATAAAAAATGTATTCATGTAATACTTACTAAACCAAGAATCACTAGGTCCATAAATTACTTTATACCCTTTAATAACTCCATTTGCAGTATATAGTGGTGGTGATACCCAAGAAATTCGAATCGTTTGAGATGTCAAGGTAGTACAAGTCGTATCATGTGGTGGTTGTTCTGGTACACCTTCAGAAGTATACTGTTTAATCTCATCAGACATTGGTCCAGCACCCAATTTGTTGAATGCTTGCACAACTATTGTGTATTGAGTGTATGTTCTAAAAACAATCAATAAATATGATGTAATTTATCAAATAAAATGAACATATTATTTTAAATAATACTATATAGATATAATAAATAAATATAAACAATGATTATTGGCGTTTATCTTTATAAATTATGTACAATTATATGATAATGAATAGTTTCAACATTTATTATATTTTAATTAAAAGGTTCATAACTTACTTAAGATTCAATATTTCAAAATAGTGTTCTTTTCCTTCTTCTTTACTAAATTCAACAGTTTCGAACACAAATTTACTATCGACTAATGATGATTGTTTGTATCCAACATAATATCCTTGAATTTCACCATTCCAATCACTACGTTCTGGAGCTTTCCACATTACTTTTAAAGTATTTTCATCGATAGGATCAACGCGGACACTAGTTGGTTTTCCACTAGGTGCTACATAAATATAAATCATTAATTATCATAGAAAATATTGCATTCAATTTGAATCCCTACCTTCTTCTGAAGTAATTATGGTAACTGGATCAGAAGGCTTAGAAACGCCTACTCCATTTTCTGCTACAATTCTAAAATGGTAAGTAGTAGCTGGATGAAGATTTACTACACTCATCTCAGTTTTATCTCCTGTGGCTTCTCCTTTTTGAACATCACTTTCCCAAGTACCTGTTATTTAAATTATAATTTAAAAAATAAACAAATTATTACAAAACTATTAGGTTTTAATGTTTTATACTAACCTTTTAATAATTTGTATTCGACTATGTAACGAGTTATGGGCGAATTTCCATCATACGGAGCTAACCAAGATAATTGAACAGTTCGGCCAGACTTATCTAATACTTTCAAACCAAATGGAATCTCAGGTACCTCTGAAGTATTCAATTAAAATATAAAATATATAAATATTAGCAGTAGAAAATAATACAAAAAATATGATTTTCTCACCTTGAACAATAAGTTGAATACTCGAATCATCACTTCCAAATGAATTAGTAGCAACACACGTAAAAGCAGCGGTATCAATTCGCTCAGATCTTTTGATGCTCAAGTCAGACTTTACTCCATCTGTTAATATTTCTTCACGTATAGTGTATCTGTGTAAGATAAATATATTAAATTAAAAATTAATTATTTAAACATGACCTAAGTTTAACAATATTAAAAATAATTTAAAAATATAAATTAAATTAAATTAAATTAAACACAAATTAAAATTAAAATTAAACCTTTCTTCTTCCTTAGAATCTAGTCGTTTGTTATTCATATTCCACACAATTCCAATAGGTTTCTCTCCTTTTGCCATGCATTCTAAAACAGCGGGCTGTCCTTTTTCAGATGTTTGATTTCTTGCTTTAATCTCAAAATGAGGTGGCGCTGAAACCATATATAAAATAAATAAAACGTACTATTATTTTTTGTAAATTTAATTCATCTTGAACACTAATAGTGATCACAGCAGAAAGTCCAGAACCAATTCCATTCACAGCTTCACATAAATAGTGACCTTCATGGTTTTTTTGAATATTATGGATAGACAATGTTCCTTCATCAACTTTAATATCATCACTGCCTGGTTTCAGATCCTTAATGTCTTTATAATCTCCAGGAGAATTACCTATGACATATATCGAAAAATATATTTATAAATACGTTAATACCAATTATAAATTAATGATATATACCAATGGCTTTCTTCCATGTTACTTGAGGCTTAGGAAATCCATCTGCTTTACATTCAATTTTTGCATCACCTCCTTGTGCAAATGCTTTATCGGTAGGTTCGAGTATCCATCTCGGAGGAACTAAATTTAAGTAAAATAATTATTTAGTTAATTAATTTCATCTAAGAACAACAGAGTAGCAAGAGTTTCTAAGTACTTTATAATTTCATGATTCTTATAAATATATACATATATATGTATGTATATTTGTTTATTTATTTATAGAATTTGCATACAGAGAATCGAACTTCTAACTTAGATAAAAATTTAAGAAAACATTTAGCTGATATATTTTTTTAAAATAAAAATGCAATGTATGTATATACATATAATGAATCAATAAAGAGCTATTAAATTTAAAAAATCAAATTAAAAATTAAAAAATATTCATCTTCAAATTTAATATATTAGATTTATATGAAATTATAAAGGTAAATTAAAACTTTAAACTCTTGCTACTTTATGCTAGTATTGTCTGATAATAAATTTAAAGTATTCATTCTTAAGTTAAAATAAAAATATTTTAGTATCTAATTAATTATAAACTTTGAATGAACTTTAAATTCACTACACAGATGTACTTAATTTTTGTGCATAAAGCGTGCTAGGTAATATAATGCAAAAAATACTTTTTGTATTTTACAATATAATAAGACTAAGTATTAATAGGCCAAAAATAATATAAATGTGTAGATATTTTAGAAGAGTGTAAATATACTTTAATTATTTTCTTATTTTCTAAATTAGTTAAAGACAATTATAATAAAAAAAAAATTGCAATAAAATGGTAAGTTTTTTAAATTTCAATGAAACAATGGTGAATCTGATAAATTATTTTAGTAGAATCTTAGATAATCAAGATTTATTATGAATTTTAATCTCCTAATCGCAATTTTCTCAAAACTTGGAATTAGAAGTATATATTTTTATAAGTATAATACTACCAACAATTAACAACAATTTGCAATTAATTTAAACATGATAACCAAATAATACATTTTAACATTAATATGACATTTGAAAACTAAATTTTTTTTTATAAAAAAATTATGTTTTTAACATAAAAAATATCTTTATCGCTTAGTTTAGTTAAATATCTACACATTTAAATCTATTATTATATAAAGAAAAAAAAATATATGTCAGTTATATTATTCTGCATAATTTATACATAACAATTATATCTATACAGTGAAAACTATTCAAGATGAATTTGAATGGAAATTAAAAAATATTCCGTTTAAGAACAGTTTCTTACCCAAAACTACATTTACGATATTATTTTTGGCGGATTAAATATAATTCTTTTCATTGACTAATTTTCGACTTTTTTTAGAATTCGTCTTAAAACAGGTTTCACTGTACATTTTAAATAAATAACATGCATTAAAAATTTAAGCAACAGCATTAATAAAGCAACAAAAAGGATAATTTGTAGGATAGAATAACAATTGGAATCAGTTTAGGATAATATTCTTATGCATTTTGAATGCGAAATTTTGATCCCCTTTTCTATACTATACTAATTTGTATTGTTAATTGTAATATTATTCATATTACATGCTAGGTAATTAAAACAGAAATGTTCTACAGAATAATGTTTGAAATTTGTATTAATTTAACAGCATAATTCTGTGATTGCATTTGAATAATCGATAGAATATGATTTTAAAATAGAAAATTAAGAAAATTCATCAATTGTCATTTTCATTCATCTATATAGTATTCGAAAAAGAGAAAATACAATATTTACGAAGAACTCAAGAAATATTTTACCCATAACTTTCAAAGAAGCTGCGTATGAAGAAGAACCAGCCTCATTTTGTGCAACGCAGCTATAATTTCCAGCATCTTCTATAGATACCCTAATCAAGGAAAACATTGAAGTAAGTTCGTCCAATTGCTGTACTTTGAGATTTTGTTTGTTAGTATTCATCAAAAGACCATTTTTAGTCCATATGAAGCGTATTGGCATATCTCCCGCCGACACAGAACAGAAAAGTTTCGTCGAACCCCCTTCATTTAACGTATAATCAGTTATTGAGAATGGTTCGACTTCCGGCTTTACTGCAACACAGAAAACCGTTCAAGGATATAAGATGCGAATACTGTGGGTTAGGTATCCATCTGTGGTAGATATCCATGACTGAATTATAATAGTGTGAAAAGAAACAATTTCCAATTGAAAATAACTCAAATATATGAACATACGTATGTGTTTGTGTACCTATGTATGTGTTTGTATGGGCAACGATATATGGTTGCACAGAAAAAATTATGATCACAATTCAGTATGGGATGATTTTCGAATGGCTGTATAAATAATACTAAAAAATAATCTACAAGCAACAGGCATATTTGAAATGGGGTTTCAACATTCCAATCGGCAACCATTTTACCGTGAACATTTAACGTGGCAGTGTAATTAGCACGACCGGCTCGATTGGTGGCAATACACGTATAGTTTCCAGCATGGAAAGAGGAAGCCGCTTCAATGTAAAGCATGGAAACCTTGCTTCCCATTTTATTAATAGAAATGCCACCCCGAAGTGGTAAAGTTTCAGTGTCGTGAAATGTCCAGAATAAGTTTAACGGCAAATCACCCTCCGAAACAAAGCATGTTATTTGTGTAGATTGCCCAGCATATATGGGATCACCAAAACTGAATGGCTCTATTCGAGGGACAACTGAAACAATAATGTTACATCCACTCAAGGAATACCCTTTATTTTCGGATATTAATCGGATAATACGATGGAATTAAATAATCGGTAACATTATAATCGGGAAAAAAATTAAAAGATTAATGACATACTCAATAAATAAGCATTTTTAAGCCAGTTTGCATGGGGTTAAAATCATTTTACCATGGACATTCAGTGTTGATGTGTACTTGGAAGTCCCTGCTCTGTTTTCAACAATACATGCGTAACTCCCAGCGAAATATGAAGAAGTGGACTCAATGAATAGCATGGATAATTTAGTACCCATTTTATTCACTGTTATACCATTAGGTAATGGTATTAATTCAGAGTTATCAGATTTGCGAAACCACCAAGATATATTCAAAGGAGTATCACCCTCAGACACTAAGCATGTGATTTGAGCTGATTGGCCGGAATATATTGGTTCATCAAAGTTGAATGGAACGATACGAGGAGGTACTATAAAATTGACAACAAAAATATAAACAATAAAATGAAATGCAAGCTTTATTAAAAAAATCTTAAGGAAATCTAATCTCAAAATGTAAAGGAAATAATTGTCATTTAGAAGGTTAAAGCATAATGTACAAACATTGGACACCGACTCGTATATTTTCGTTAATTACATGCTTTCAAATGTGGCTATTCGTGTAATATTAATTTGTATACCGTGTACATTCAAGCTAGCCGTATACGATGCATTCCCCACGCGATTCATAACATAACAAGTGTAATTTCCCCGGTGAATAGAATTTGTGTTATCAATCGATAAAAGACTAGTTTTTGCGCCAATTTTTACCACTGACACGCCTAGCTCAAATACATCTCGAGGTCCGTCGAAAGTCCATGACAACTCTAGAGGATAATCACCTTCCAAAACTGAACAAGCCACTTGAGCTGATTGTCCAGCAAATACTGGTGAATCGCCAAATGTAAATGGTTTTATTTTTGGAAAAACTACAACCATTGTAAACAAAAAAAAAAGGTATCAAATAGGAACAAAAAGAAACTGCACATTAATCTCTATTAAAATATGTGTGTTTTTGGTGAATATATTTTGCAAATAAACCAGACACAGAAAATGTAATTCTAAAATTGTTCTATGCTTGTTATTTCCAGCTATGGTATATATGTGCATGCGACGATCACCCTACCCGGATTTCTAGGTAGTTACCATTTACATACAATGAAGCAGTGTGAGCAGATTCGCCAGCCTTATTTCTGGCAAGGCAAGAATAATTGCCAACATTTTTTTCTGTCAATGATTCCACAGTTAGTGAGCTAACTCGTCGTCCAATTTTTGATACAAAAACGTTTGCTAAATCACTTGTTGATTTACCATTGAACGTCCACGCAAACTCAACAGGAATATCGCCAGAAGATATAGTACATTGTATAGAAATAGTTTCGCCAGCTTCAGGAATATCGTCACCAAATGTAAAAGGTATCATCTTTGGTGGGACTTTAATTTCGAAATTAAATGTATATAAGCAATAAAATATCATACATTAATGATCAAATAAATGATAACCCGTGATATAGTAGGCAGATATATTTGAGTATTAAATGAAGGAAACATAATGGTTTTAACGTTTTGTATTATTGTATACATGATAGAACATTTTTAAAAACTGAATTACTATCCAAATGGCACATAATATTTAAAGAAATCAATATAAGTAAATATTAGTTGCATAATATTTATCATCATAATTTTAGGATTTATGAGATAAGTATATGGAATAGTAATTAGTTTTTATGGAATCATTAAAACTATATGGTTATAAACAAAACTAAACAATACAAGTAACCTAAGTTAGATGACAATTGTACTTGACGTTAAGTATTATAGGTAACAGGTCAACAATAAATCACAAGCAAAACAATATTTCAATAAAAAAAAAAATAAAAAAATACCATCGACGTTTATATACGTTGAATAGTTATAAGATCCGATTTTATTGGATGCAATACAAGTATATTTTCCTGTATGTGCTGCCGATATAACTCCGATGGTGAGCACACTAGAACTTGAACCAAGTTTGGTAGTAGTCACACTTAATTCTGAAGAAAGTTCGTCGTCATTGAATAACCAATTAAGTTCTAAAGGCTTATCACCCTTCGAAACGTGACAATTTAATTGTATGCTATCACCAGACCTTACTTTCTCATCAACAGAAAATGGAACAATATGTGGTAAAACTATAACCATAAAAGTATATAAGGTATAAGTGTTAGAAAATCAAAATGAAAATCAATAACTGAATAAATAGAAATGAAATCAAATATTAACTATATACGGATACATTTTAAAATAACGACAAATTCTTAAAACATTTTTTTGTAACCAACAATAAAATAAAAATTAAATTAAACCTTATCATATAAAGATTAATCTAAGTATTTAATCTAATCCCGATGATACATACCAGTAAAAAAAATGTAATAAACCATAAAAAATACTAATGAAAAGGATTGTATCAGTTAAATTGGATAAATTATAGGAAAAAGTTAACACCTAAGCTGTGTAAAGAATAATTCAGCGTATATTAGGACATGCTTAGTAAAAATTATTTTATTTGTACCATTAACCATCAATTGAGACGTGAACGAGTCGAACCCAGCTGAATTTTTAGCAACACAAGTATAGTTTCCTCGATTTGAGGGACTGACCGAAGGGATTGACAAAAAATTAGTTGTATCACCAAACATTTGCGTGGTTACACCCATATGAGAAGATAGTTCTTCGCCATAGAAACTCCAAGTTATAGTCATAGGTTTGTCACCTTTAGCCACTGAACAAGATAGTTGAACAGATTCACCAGCATTAACGGGTCCATCTCCGAAGGAAAACGGCAATATTTTAGGCAAAACTAAAAATTATGATTTCATGAACCAAATCTAATAATATTTTTGCGAGAAAAATGTAAAAAAAATATAGCTAAAACTAAATTTTTTTACAATTGATGATTAAAGAATACAATTATATGATATACAGTCATAACGGGTTAAACCCGTATTTGTTATTAAGGACTATGAAGCTGTGCTATTGTTAGTATCTCTGTGATTAACTAGACAATTATTTTTAACCTATTTTAATCATGCCATTTCCATATCATGGTAATATTTCTATACCGTAAACCATGAGTTGTGACGTAAACGTGTCGATTCCAGCATTGTTCTTGGCAATGCATGTATAATTTCCTTGATTTGAAGGACTAGCCGAAGGAATAGATAAAAAATTAGTCGTATCTCCCAACATTTGTGTAGTTACACCCATATCAGACGATAATGCTTCGCCATAAAAACTCCAAGTAATTGTCATTGGACGATCACCCTTTGAAATCGAACATACAACTTGAATTGATTCACCATAATTAACGGGTCCATCACCAAATGAAAAAGGTACGATCTTTGGTAACACTGAAATAGTGCTCAGTAATAAATTACATTTTTTAACAAGAACATAGATAAGTCCAAACTAACTCAGTCAAGTTTATATATGTATAATTTTATTTTATTTTTTTCTTAACTATAGTCAATTAGGAACAAAATGGATGAATACGCATAAATAAAGAAAATAAATTTATACAAATTATAACCAAAGATACTTTAAAATAATATGCACATATTAAATCTAATAGTACTCTAAAATAGAGTAAAATCACTTAAAATCACTACCATTTACTAAAAGCTGAGCAGTGAAAGAGTCATTTCCAGCTGAGTTTTTTGCTAAACAAGTATAATTTCCACGATTGGAAGGGACGATTGAAGGTATAATCAAAACATTCATGGTATCTCCAACAGGCATAGTACTAACACCCATATTTGATGATAATTCTTCACCGTAAAAATTCCAACTAATACGTAATGGCTTATCACCCTCCATAACAGTGCATCCGACTTGCACAGGATTTCCAGCATTGCTTGGTGCATCACCAAAAGAGAATGGTAATATTTTTGGTTGTACTGAAAGATCCAATATAATACTTCCGAATTATTGCTGTTACTCAGATTTTTATAAAAAATAAAAATGTTGTAATATGTAAATAAAAGTATTCTTCTGCGATACATTTTATACAGTATGTACATATAAAACATAATTACGTGTTATTATGATAAAGACATGTTCAATAATAATCAATGGATATCTTCATTAGATTTTCAACACATCTAGGATAGGCTTAGGACGCACAATTTCGCACTACATTAAAATAATGTTTTAAAAGTAGCTATTATTGGATACCATTAACTAAGAGTTGAGCTGTAAATGAATCGATTCCAGCAACATTTTTTGCAACACAGGTGTAGTTTCCTCGGTTTGAAGGAGCAACAGAAGATATAAACAAAACATTCATGGAATCTCCAACAGCCATCGTACTAACGCCCATATTCGATGACAATTCTTCGCCATAGAAATTCCAACTAATACGCAAAGGCTTATCACCTTCAGTGACTGTACAAGCAATTTGTACAGTATTTCCTGCATTACTTGGTGTATCACCAAAAGAAAAAGGTGATATTTTTGGACGTACTATAGAAAGTAAAAATTGTGATATATAAAATTACCCAAGTAATATCACGCGCATAAATTGTATGACCAACAAAAATAAATCAAATACAATTACAATACGATTATTATTCAAATTTTTCATTCAATATTAAAACTCAAATAATATATTTTGAATTTTTGAAACACTCCATAAGCAATGTGTTTGTTATTACTTATTTAACGATAAAGGATAGAAGTGGATACATAACTGTTGCACTACCTACTAAATAATAATTGTTGTGCTATTAAGATAAGGTATTATGAATACCATTAACTAAAAGTTGAGCTGTATAAGAATCATATCCAGTTGGATTTTTTGCAACACAAGTATAATTTCCCCGATTGGAAGGAGTAACAAATGGAATGAACAAGACATTCATTGAATCTCCAACTGCCATGGTACTAACGCCCATGTTAGATGATAATTCTTCACCATAGAAATTCCAACTTATACGTAATGGTTGATCACCTTTTGCAACAGTACATCCAATTTGAACTTTATCACCTGCATTACTTGGATTATTACCAAATGAAAAGGGCAAAATTTGTGGTTGAACTGAAAATGTGTGTAACTTATTATTAATATTAATGATGAGCGATGAGAGTTATTACATGATTTTTTGACTAGGTAATATAATTTATTCATAATTTTATATCCATTGAATTTTGATGACACATATTATTATAAGTAATGTACTGAAGAACATACAACTTAATGAGAAACTATTTAGCAATCTCGAGGATGAATACCGGAAGAGGAGAATTGCAGCTAAAAGCAAACTATGTTTAATTAAAATGGCTAGGTACCATTAACCAACAATTGAGCTGTATACGAATCATATCCAGCTGAATTCTTTGCTACACAAGTATAATTTCCTCGGTTTGTTATTCCAACATAAGGTATAGA